TGTTTGTTAGCTTGTTTGTTTGTTTGTTTGCTTGTTTGTTTGTTTGTTTGTTTGTTTGTTTGTTTGTTTGTTTGTTTGTTTGTTTGTTTGTTTGTCCGTCACTCAGTCCGTCAGTCAGTCAATCAGTCTGTCTGTCTGTCTGTCTGTCTGTCTGTCTGTCTGTCTGTCTGTCTGTCTGTCTGTCTGTCTGTCTGTCCGTCTGTCTCTATGTCTGTCGCTGCCTGTCTGTCTGTCTCTATCGGTCTGTTGGTCCGTCGTCCCATCGATTCGTCGGTCTGTCTGTCTGTCTATCTGTTTGTTTGTTTGTTAGTCAGTCAGTCAGTCAGTCAATTAGTCTGTCTGTCTGTCTGTCTGTCTGTCTGTCTGTCTCTATCGGTCTTTTGGTCCGTCGTCCCGTCGATCCGTCGGTCTGTCTATCTGCTTGTTTGTCTGTTTGTTTGTTTGTCTGTTTGTCTGTTTGTCTGTTTGTTTGTTTGTTTGTTTGTTTGTTTGTTAGTTTGTTAGTTTGTTAGTTTGTTTGTTTGTTTGTTTGTTTGTTTGTTTGTTCGTTTGTTTGTTTGTTTGTGTTCATTTCTCATAGGCATCGATTTTCAAAGGAGGATACACCATACAGAACAACATGTACGCACAATGAGCCTTGTTGTGCACCACTAGAATTTGCCCTAGAATTTGGTGAAATACCGTTCCATGCCACCTTACTGCAAGAGCGCGATGGAGAGGCTCCCCTGTAAGGCCAAAAAAAATAACATTAGTAACTTCCGCCCTGGAGTCCAGGAAGCCGTCAAGGTGGCTACAGAAGTGCGTGTGATTTTGGATTTCCACAGCATGTCAGAAGGAGTGGACCATTAAGATTGCAATCTCCTTTTCAAGTTTTGTTCCAACCTTCTTCAGTGTTCGCCGATTCTAGGGCAACTTCAAGGGTGCATGGAACAATGAATAAGTAGGGCAATCTTAATTATGCTTTTGTTGTAAGCTGCCATCATTTCTCAAGGGTTTTGCTTGTAGTGCACAATGAGGCCCACTGCCCCAGTGCAGCACACCCTGATCATTGCATTGGTGCAGCAGATATGCTGCATACATGTTGCATACCGTATAGGTGCAGACCAGAACAAGAACCGACCTTTCAATACAAAGTATAAGATAGCACAGCGGAAGACTTAGATACCAATGATCCRAACAATCAATATTGCWATGCAGCCCCAAACATACATCATCATCATCATTCCATGGTGTGAAGGGGTCTGGCGCTTCACACAGGAAGACTGCGCCAGCCCCAACCATACACAGACGAAGGAGATGGGGGTTAGACGAAGAAGAGGGGAAGATGGGAATGTCGTCAACACCAAGTGTTCAGCACAGGCCCAAATAGTCCCTCGTCGAAA